AGGAGCAGCCCCCTTGCTGCTGCTGGTCTAGCCCTGAGTCTGTGGCCCACGCTGAGACCAAGCCTTGATTTGGGCAGCTGCTTTTGTTCTCTAGGGTCTGAACCGCTGTATTCCTAACTTGTAATAATACCCAACTCCCTCTGGAACTCTCTTTGCCCCATTTTTCTAAGGGATTAGAGTCCTAGGACCTGCTGCCCACCTTTCCACATCCAATCTACATTCCCACCTGTATCTATAGTCAAGTCTCCTAGACAGTGTACACTGTCCTCTAAAGCCACATGTGCTGAACCTTCCTGAAGTCCACTGTTTGTCCAGGGGACCGCCTGACTGCTGTCTGCTACTTTACTCTGTTGGGATCCTGTATCTTTCCTACATCCACCAACCATTTGTTTATTGAGTACTCATGGTGTGTCAGCTTAATGCTAATGGCAGTTCATGAAAGTTCTTGTTTCATTTTATGACAGCCCTAGGAATGTTGGTTCTATTATTATCCCTGCCTTAAAGATGAGGAAATTGAAGTTCAGAGAGGTTAAGTAACTTGTCTGATATCATACAGATAGCAAGCGACAGGGCTAAGAGTATAACTCAAGTCTGTTTCGCTCCAGAACCTGAGCTCTTCACACTGAAGAGCTGTATGGTGTCTGCCCTTCATCACCTGTAGGACAAGGGGCTGTCCCAAGTGCCTGCCATCCCAGTCGGCACATGCTGACCTCTCTTGTCCTGCCCTGTTTAGTTCTGCTGTGCCTGACTGGATATGGCACACACATGGCACAGATGACCCAGAGTCACACGAGCTCCTTACACAGCCTTGGGCTTCTCGGTCAGTTACCGTCACGAGCACTTGTTTGGCACATGGTCGACCCTCAGTCAATATTTAAATAGATGAATGGATGAGCTGAGGGGTGGCATGGAAGTCCCTTACATCACTGCCTTGCTTTTCAAGGGACGTATGTACTGGCATTGCATCATCATACTGCCTTTAATATTGCACCACAGCAAAAATTTCCCAGTGCTAAGTAAGGGCCAGTATCTCTTTGGGTCTAAAACGAACCCATCTGTAATTGGATTCTGCTTCACAAATAACCAGGCTACTCAGCTTATTTCATAGAAATCCTTCCTATCTCCTGAAACATGGGCACACGGAGAGAGATGTGTGGGCCCCATTCTAAGACAAGTCAAAGATCACCATTTTGATGGCAAATATGGTAGAAATATGTGGGCTTAAGGTTGAGAGTTCACTAAGTGTTTATCAACAGCAAAGCTACTTCCACTTAAGAGAGACTGAATCACCACATGAGAGTCAAATGAAATAAATATTGTCCCTTATGTTGAGGTATGGTTAAAGGGCAAGAGAAGCATCTAGTGAATTTTACCCTGTGTGTGTTCAACTTTAGGTGAACACGTGTGTCTGTGCACGTGTGTGGGTATGAATCTGTCGTACATTTATGTGTATGTATTTTGTGTATGTAATATGTAGGTGGTTATGTGAGTAGGCATATATGTGTGCATTATAGTACATATGTGTGGGTATACCTTTGTGTTTGTATATGTGTGTGTTCATATGTGTGTGTGTTTGTGTGCATGTTTGTAATTGTATGTGTGTATGTGTGTATGGGAGGAGAGAACCAGACTGAATAAGGCCCAAATGAGAACAACACTAAGGTTAGATTCATCCTTTTGACTTTGGATAGATTAGGATGGGACCTGGGTTTGCAAGGGAAGTACAGGCATATCATAATGAATTTGTGATGGTCAGCATTATTATCTAATGAAAATGGCCATGGGTGAGTTCCAAGTGGTAGCCAGATAGGAAATAAAGCTGAAGTTTAGATGCTGTGGCTGTATGTTTATAACACGGCTTAGATTTATAACTAAACTCACTTACAGAATGATAGTTATTATGTAATTTGAGGATTTAAGAGACAGTACAATCTCACAGAAAAAGAAGTAAATTTGAAATCAAGAGGTTCAAATCATTTTCTTGCCCTTTACTAGCTGTGTGATTTTGGGCAAGTCAGCCCATTTTCTTATCCAAGAATAGAGTTAGAAATACCAATCCTAGCCTTTTGCACAAGCTGAGAGCAAAAAATGTAAGGGTCAGTGTGACACTCAAAGAAAATGAGACAACCATGTGTGAACCAGCTCTCCCAGCTGCAAAGCTCTATACAAGCATAAATTACTCTTATGTCCAGTCTTGGGCTTGCTCATGTTTTTAAGAGATAATAGTGAACTGGAGCGATGAGACTGTATTTCTGCAGGAAGTGGCCTGGAGGGTTCCTCTGGGCCATCGAATGGCAGACGGAGATGAGCGCAGATTGAGCAGTCATGGGTGCATGTGTGGGGTCCCCTGCCAGTAGGTGAAAGCCTTGTCTACCCCACCAGACAGACTGTTCATCCATGAGGTGCTTATGAGCTTGGCAAGATAGACACTTCCTCTGCATGTCCTTGAAAACATGCAGTGAGGCAGACTTGGTTTATAACTCTCTTCAGTCATGGATTGAACTGAAGAATCAAGGAGTCCCAGGCGGTCAGCCTGAAAACTGAGAGGACACACTGTGCAAGCAAAATCTGATGAAGGGAGATTGGATGAGAGGTGAGCTGGTGGGCTTAGGGGCTGGGATAGAAGCCAAGCTACTTCACTCTCTTCAGCTGGGGTAGGAGGTCCCTCATGGCAACCTGGTGGGCTCTACTCAAGGCAAACGTGGATGTATGGTGGGGAGGGAGCAAGAGAAGACAATGCGCAGGCCGGTTACAAGAACGTTGACAGGGGAGAATCCCATTTAGGAACCACAGTTCATGCGTGAGGATGATTAATATTTGACCTTCTTTTAGAGAGCTTTCTAGAAACCCTCACAGCACCAGTTACGGAGAAAAGAAGACATTATCTCTGGCTCTTAGAGAAGGTGGTACAGAGGCAAGGCGACCTACCCAAGATAACGGCTCCTGTCTCCTTTTACGATTGGTCTTGTTAAGAAGGCAGTCTGACAAAGTTAGTTCTTTCTGATTTATTCTACTATTTACTCAAGTTGAAGTCTCTGGCAACAGGGCCAGGGGCCTCAGCACAAGATTGAGGCAGGCACTCTTGCTCAGTGTGCTCTCAGGGCTCCTTCAGTGCTGCATGCCAGGGGCCCGCCTGCCTCACCCTGGTGGCCCTGCCTGGAAGACATCTCAAGACAGGCCCACTGGGAGGCCAGGCGGGCCCATTTTTACTTGCTGTCACCACTCAGCACCCTCTCCCCCAGTTCCCGGTGAAGTCTGTCATTCTGGCTAGGAATATTCCTAGGATATTGCCACGTGGGCAGGACTTCATAGTGAAAGCTTCAGCAGGACTTTTGTGAAACTAGGTCTGTGAAAACATTTTCTTTTTTTTTTATTTTTATTTTTATTTTGTTTTTTGAGACAGTGTCTCACTGTGTTGCCCGGACTAGAGTGAGTGCCGTGGCATCATCCTAGCTCACGGCAACCTCAGACTCCTGGGCTCAAGCGATCCTCCTGCCTCAGCCTCCCAAATAGCTGGGACTACAGGCATGCGCCACCATGCCCGGCTAACTTTTTCTATATATTTCTAGTTGTCCAATTAATTTTTTTCTAATTTTTAGTAGAGACGGGGTCTCGCTCTTGCTCAGGCTGGTTTCGAACTCCTGAGCTCAAACAATCCGCCCGCCTCGGCCTCCCAGAGAGCTAGGATTACAGGCGTGAGCCACTGCGCCCGGCCCCTATGAAAACATTTTCAAAGGCAGACACCTAGGGAAGGAAGAGAAGGCATGGCTTTGATAGGGCTTGATTTTCTATCCAAAGTCCAATTTTGCCAGATTGTATCAGTGGCTCTAGGCTTCCTGGGAGGAGTTCTCACTTTTCTGAAGCTCCAACTTCCCTGGGGGGAAAGTCCTGTTGGTGGAGAAGGAGGCTTGGAGGATAAGGACAGGACAGTGAAGTCTCAGAGATGGAGAGGGGATGAGGCACAGGGGCTGTGGCAGAGGGTGTGGGGACAGTATTCATTAACTACTTGACAGATGATGGGAGTCTGGGAGGGAGAGTGAGTCGGAGAACCGGGAAGCTTAAGCGTTGGGATGTATCACACGCTCCAAGGAGGAAGGCACATTGGGCAGAAGCAAAGATAAAGCATCTCAGAAGTTGAAATTTATATTTTTGCTAAAATAGGATTTCATTTTTTAAAACATTCATATATAACTTAGTCGTGAATATTAATAACATAATGACAGGGTAGAGTGGTAGCAGCTAGCTTGGAAATCTCCCAGGTAAGACTTGAGAATCTGCCTGTGAGATCGGAATCTCCCTGCTGGACGCAGGGAGCGCTGGGACCCATTCTCTATGGAGTCCTGCTATTTTCTCTTTCTGTATATGGTCAGCGTCTTGAAAACAAAGCAGCTGTCTAAGGGCTTTTCTTCTCCCTTCTTCCTTCCTCCCTCTCACATCATTGTCTAGGTGGCCCATGGCTCCTCCTCCTTCTCCACCGAACCTTCCCTTCTGTGTATCACACTCCTATTGAATCCTCTACTGCCTACGACAGAATTGACTTTAAGATCCTAGAAAAACTCAGGCACTGAATTAAACACATTAAAACAGTTTACCAACAGAATACTGTGTCACCTATTTGTTACTTTGTAATGATAGGACTTTACCATTTCCACACACATCACTTTGACATGACAACTCTGTATGTTGGGTAACCTTATTGTCCCCACTTTATGGATCAGGAAACTGAGGCTTAGAGAAATGGTACCTTATTCCAAGGGCAGCCAACTAGTAAGTGCTGAGTTTGGGACCAGAACCCAGCTCTTCGGATTCCTATTTCAGAGCTTTTTCTAATGAGCCTCATTGCCCGCTCCAAGGATGGGCCCTGCAGAGTAATGAGAATGCTTTCACTCAGCTTCACCCAGCCCTTCCTCCTCTCCTGACCACCTCTGACTTCACCTTTTCTGGAACCAATTCCTCCTACTCCATCCCATCCACGTCCCCACACCCAATCAAGTCCTCACCTGAGAGTTCCATGTGGGACACGATTAAGAAGATGGCGAAATCCAGGAAAGAGCAGTTGCACTTCCAGGGGTTTCCACTCAGATACAGGGTCTCAAGTACCGTGAGGTGATGGAAGGCAGTGCGGTCCAAGGTCTGCAGGCCGGTGTTTCTGAGGTCCAGGTGTCTCAGAGAGGTGGTGTTGGCAAAGGTGAACTTGTGGAGGGATAACAGGTGAGGGTTGTTGGCAATGTTCAGCTGCACCAGGTTGCTGAGCACCGAGAAGCTGAATGGGGAGACTGAGGTTAGGTTGTTGGAGCTGAGGTCAAGGTAGATGAGTCTGAAGACCCCGATGAAGGTATAATCCATCACCTCTCGAATCCGGTTGTTCTGACAGTCCAAGTAAACAAGGTCACTGAGGAGTCCTAGGTGCATTGCTGGCAAACTAGTGATTCTGTTATCGTTCAGCAACAGCCTCCGGGTGTTCAGGGGGATGTCAGGGGGGTATTCGGTTAACTGCCTCCCTGTGCAGATTACTTCTGGGGCTTGACACAGACAATTATTTGGACACTTGGACCCTGATACCAGCCCCATTCCAAAGGAAAAGAGTAACCACCCGGGGCCAGGGCCTGAAGCAAAGGACATAGTAAGAAGCCACAACTACCCTCCTTCCACTTTCCTGCGGGCGGGCGCTGTCCCTCTGATCCGAAGGCTGGCGGTGGGGGGGAGGGCGGGGCGGGGGAGGGGCACTGGAAAGAACTGTAACACTCTAGCTTTGTGCAAAGCAATTTTCCATTACAGGAGAACTGAACAGAAATTGAAACGAGAGGCCCGATGCCCCGCCGCCTGCCTGGCTTGGTGGCTCTGCCGCTCGCTCACTCCCAGACTGCTGCTGGAAGCTCGCCCACTTGGCTGCTTTGAAAGGTCTCACCCTTTCCCTGCGTTTGCGAGTGAAGGGGAGCCAGGGGAGAGCCACATGACAATGAGGTTGCCAGTCGACACCTTTGTGATGTCAGCAGCTTCGGGACACTGCCTGGCTGAGGGAAAGAAAGAGACTCCTCATCTCTCCTTCTGGGTGGTGTGGGGGTGTTTTGTGTATCTCGGTAAGCTGGCTGTCCCTGGGGGAGTCAGGGCTTGGTAGGTGGGGGCCTGCAGCATGTGTGGGGGGGACAGGCACCGGTTCACTCTGTGTATGCGTGTGGCCAGTGTGTGCCTGGGGGGTCTGTACCAGCTCCCCACCAAGCTGTAGTAGAGGATTGGGCGAGATTGGACCTCCTAACCTGCAGGCCATAGTGGGAAGTCTGCCGTTCAACTTCCTTCTTTACTGATGAGCAAAGTGACTTTCCTGAGGTCAGTTCTTTTCTTGGGTATTGAATTTGGATGGGTGCCATTTTGTCGGTATTGTCAGGAGAAGATGGGAAAGGGGGCGTTCCTTCGAAATGAGGCAAAGGGAATTTTTCCGACAAGGTGGTGTTCTTTTAAAATGCTATTCCTAGGTTGTGTGCCTCCCTCTCTGCATTTGGAATATATGTCTGTGTATTTTAAAAAAACTTTTTGAACAAGTGTAAGCTACTCCCCTTAAAACAAAACCCAAATGTATGTCTAAAGAAATCTGAGTGCAATGATATGAACTATTTTTTACTTGTATTCCTCTAGGACTTTTAACACAGCGAGTGCCTCTCTCGTGCTTCTAGAGTTTATATTCATTAACTACTTGACAGATGACGGGAGTCTGAGAGGGAGGGTGAGTCCGAGAACCGGGAAGCTTAAGCGTTGGGATGTATCACACCCTCCAAGGAGGAAGGCACATTGGGCAGAAGTGAAGAGAAAGCATCTCAGGAGTTGAAATTTATATTTTTGGTAAAATAGGATTTCATTTTTTAAAACATTCATATATAACTTAGTCGTGAATATTAATAACATAGTGAAACCTATACTTAGCATAGGGCCTGGCACCTGGTATGTAATAAATATTTATTAAATGAATGATGCGTGAATGTCTCTGATGGTTTGCTTCCTTTTCTTGCTTCTCTGCCAAGGGAGAAATTAATAAACTCAAGTGGCTTTGTGGCTAGTTAGCTAATGCTTGATTATGTTTACTTACTCAGCGTTCCTTGGGTGACTGGCTGTGAATTAATCTGATGACTTAGGAGTGTTTACCAAATTGAAAGTGACCTTATTTAAGTAGAAATTTTAAACACTTAAAGTAATGACCCAAATGATAGTTGTACTAATTGAAGCGTGATTTAATTGATAGGGGAGCCACCCTTTCCTCATAATTAAACAAATTCTATTAAAAAATAAACTCCTTGCTAGATCTTACATGATTTCCTGGGAGAGAAATTTGGTACATAAAATCTATAGAAAATAATTAATATCCAAAGCGATCTTTTGCTCTGGGAGCTGCAGCGAGGGCGTGTCTGGTCTGCAGGGTATTGGGGGGTGCTTTGTTTGGAGGGGCTGTGTTTGTTGTCTGCTTCCTTCCGATGAGATTATTGACTCTCCTGCCGAATCTCATGGAGCGATTTTGCTAACTTTCCACCTTTTACATCCCTCTCCCTCTTTCTGACTCTTCTTTCCTCCAAGTTGTCCCATTGAATTTCCAGCCTCCTTGTCTAGACTAACTTTCTGAAGATAGTAGCCTGAGGCTCAGGCTTACCTGTTTGGCCATATGATTGCCAGTGCTCTCTCTTAGAAAAAAGCCTTAGAAAAACCTATCGTTCTAAAGGTTATTGGTTGGCACCAGGCTACCACATCTCACTCTCTAGAGCATGACCACTTTAACAAGGCATCATGAAAACCACATTAATGTTGTCTGAGGTAGCTGTGTATTTTTTCTGGTCTTGAAGTCTGAACAATCACAGGCTAGTTTCAGCTTTGCCAGGTTAGACCAGACCCCTAAAATGTGCTCCTCATTTGGAGTCTGAATACATATCTGTTAAATAGAGAATAAGTAGACTAGACAAGGGGAAGAGAGAATGTAGCATTGTCTGAATAACCCTGATTTCAGAATCTTAAAACATTTTTTTCCAAAGAACATCTCATGAGACTATTATTTCAGAGATGGGCTGCTTTGGGAAGTTCTAGACTAGGCTGTTTGCCCTTGGTTGAGGTGCTTAACCTATGTGGGCTTTTATTTTTCTCATTTACATATTGAGGGAGATGGAGTAGATAATTTCCAACTCTCCTTAAGACTTTTAAATTCCTTCCTAATGGAAAGACTTCAGGCACTACCCAGAAAACAAGTAAAGTATTTTGGGGCCCAGAGGAGAGCCTTCCTGCTTCTTCTAATCATACCGTATAACTAACCCTACTTGTCAGGTGGCTGCAAAGATGGAATTTGCTCTCCCTGGTGAGCTATTCATGAAGCTTCAGTAGCAGCCAGGTTGCGCTTAGTGAGTGCGGCTGTTTTATGAGCCAAACTCTGTCCCTTTGGGTGGCCAGTGTGCCCATCCTTCCAGGAGAACAGGTGCAGTATCAAGTGAGCACAGAGAGAGGCACCTCCTACCATACCAACACGCTAGCTGAATCTAGTCTTGGGCACGCTCCTGTTTCTCATCGTCGTATCTGTTGGAGGCACTGCCTTCCCAGCAGGGGGTCCTCCGAGGTGCCAGCACGCTCCAAACGGCTCTCTGGTGATCCAAAGTGCGGGGTGACGTTGTGACCTCCCAGGGTTTTGATTTTCTTTTTGTAAAACAAGACAAGGTGCTCTCTATGGGCCTTCCCAGTTTTAAATTCCATTAAAATTCTATTGTGAGCTAAGCATGGTGGTGCGCACCTGTAGTCTTAGCTACTCAGGAGGCTGAGGTGAGAAGATGGACTTGAGCCCAGGAGTTGGAGGCTACAGTGAGCTATGATGGTGTCACTGCACTCTAGCTTGGGTGACAGAGCAAGACGAGGGAGAGAGAGAGACAGAGGGAGAGAAGGAAGGAAGGAAGGAAGGAAGGAAGGAAGGAAGGGAGGGAGGGAGGGAGGGAGGGAGGGAAGGTCAATTGAGCTGTGAAGGGAAAGGACAGATGCTTGAAGCTGTAAGGGCCAAGCAACAGGACGGAGAGTCAAGCAATGACAAAGCAGTCCATAAACATTAGCTAGTATAATAAATAGTCCACTCAGCTGCCCGGGTGCAAGTGCTTGGGAATTTAATTTTGGCATACTTTTATTTGCTCAGGAGAAAAATAACAAAGAAATGAATGTGCCGTTTTATTCAGTTAGAACTGCTAATATGCTCAGCTCGGGACTTCACTGGGGTTAGCAACCTAGGGGCACACAGGTCAGTACTTTGCTCTGCTTCCTGGGCAGGGGGTGTAGTGGATTCGAGTCTAAAGAATGTCACGGTGTCAAGGACTTTGGTGTAGGAGCTGCTTGTGGTATCTAATTTACTCCAGACTTTTGACACTGCCTGGGCCTCTTCAGCGAAGTCATCTCTCAGCCCGTGTGGGGCTTGGGGGCAAGTCCCATGGGAAGCAGATGAAAACGAAAAAGAAGTTCAGCTTGAAAGAGGAAAAAAAAGCTCCAAAACATGCTGGGAGGGCTGAGGCTTAAGGACCAAGTATATATCTATCTATCTGCCTATATGTGAGCCTTCGGTCTGTGTTTAATACCAGCTGGTATAAACTATTTTTGTCTTTTTCCTCCAGGCTGCCTGAGTCTCCACTCAGGAGATTGGACCCTTACAGAGTAGAAGCCAGAGGAAATCACTCCAATTTGTTGCATTCCCCAGGGATGTCTTTGTTTTCAGGCTTCAGCTACACTATATAATTCTACAGCATTCATTATCCAGAGGAATTCAAGGGGAAGCCTAGAAATTGCAAACCATTTTTAGGGGAGAAAGTGGATCATGTTTTCAGCTTATAACAAATCTATATACTATTGCCCATGGCTGGGCTTGTGCGTAGTAGTCATTATACTTGAAACTCGATTTGTGACTTTGCCAATAGTGGAAGCTGTCCAAGTTCATTGATTTGGGAGGAGAACAGGAGCCCTCTTTATAGGCGGCTTGTAGATTGTAGTGTGAGAGACTGTGGTGTAGCATGAGCTTTGAAATAAGAAGATTCCTCACCGAGTGACTTTGGGCAAGCACCTGTGCTTCTATGGCCCTCAGTTTCCTCTTTGGTAAAATAGGGATAACGAAGATTGTTGCAAAGGTCGCCTGTGATTTAAGGTAACGCAATAAGCACCATTTACTATTTACCCCGTGTCAGGCGTGAGATCCCCCCAGCAACCCCATGAGTCATGTGGCGTGACCCCTATCTTATGAGTGAAGAAACAGAAGCTCTAAGAGGTGCCACTTGCCCAGTGTCACAGAGCTGGTGAGTGATGGAGGCTGGGTTGGCCCAGGAAGTTTTACTCCTGAGCACAGACCCTGAATTCTGAGCTGTACCCTCCATCAGGTGCAAGTGTCGCAAAATGCTCATTGCTATTTTTATCAGCTCCATGGAGTAAGTTGTCCTTTCCTAACACTAAATGGTACCTTGACTTCAGACCACGGTTTTTAAGGTGATTTATTTATGCTTTGGGGTTCCTTGCCTTTCAGAAGGCTTATGATGCTTTTTAGGTTTTAAGTTCTTATATTAACTTTTGAGATTATTCAGTATAATGTTTTTCCTTTTGCAGGTGAAGCAACTCAAAGGAAAAATAACTTGCCTAAGCTCACTTAGAAGACGAGTGTCAGAGTCAGCTACAGGTGACCCATCGATGCCTGGGGTGACTCAAATTCCCTACACAGTCACTCCTGTAGCGAGGAATTCCCTCCACGGTAATCTGGAACATGCTGTGTCCACTGGCAAACTAGTGTGTGTATAGCAAACCCCTGACGGTGCATAAGCCCGCTCTGGTGGAAATCTCCCCGGAACCAGGGGTGGAATCTGCTTGGTGATTCCCGTCCCCTGCCCTACTCTGCAGAGCAATATTTGAAACTAAAATTCTAATACAGTGAAAGCCTTTGAGTAGTCC